TCGTATTTATTGTTTGTTGAAGTCATTTCTTCAGCAATAAATCTTTTAATTAAAGATAATTTTAATAATTAAAGATAAATAAAAAACCTTTTTACAACAATTGATTGATTTACTTGTGTTCAGGAAAAGTTTTATTAATCCTTGACTTTATGAAGTCTTCAACTTGTCTATCTGTTTCTGTTACCAAATCTGCCGAATTTCCTGCTTTAGAGTAAACTTTACTTTGTGTTGAGTAACGTGCTTTCGAAGCTTCCAAAATAATTTTGCCACTTTCTCGAGCAAGTGAAACTGCAAAATCAAGATAATCTTTTAATCCTAAACATTAAAAAAATTTAAAAAAATTTAATATTTGTATTCAATTAATTACTATTATTTATTTATTACAATGTTAGGATTAAATGATAGTTTGACTGGTCTAAACTCTTGCTACTTAAGGATTTTTGCTTTTGAATTTACTATAAAGAAATTCTAACATTGTAATATTTATTTAATACTACCGGAAGACATTTTATTAAATATTAATATTATTAATTCGTGATCCACAAGGATTTTAATCAAGTGTCATTAAAAAAAAAATCTCCGTTTTTCATATGGCAAGCGATTTTCAACCATAATAAAAATTTTCTAACTTTTTAACAACAATTAAAAAAAGGTCAGCTTAGATATTGGTTATTCTACGCCAGGTCTTTTCTTCACACTTATTTTAAGATTATCGCTCAACTAGTATGCAGGCTAAAAGCAAATTCAGCAGCAACAATTATGCCAAAGTGATCCCTACAAAGTCGCTTACAACCACTTGAAGGTTGTGTTTGCTTTTAATTATAAGGGACTGATTTATAGTTATTTATAGGGTTATTAATTTATTTAGAATTTGTATTTATAAATTTTAAAAAATGTCATTATAACAAGATTGTCATTATAATCATTATAACGGGAGTGACTTGTATTTTAGAAATTATCCAATTAAATCAAAAATTTATGTTGATGATTTCTAAATTTATCCTAGTAACACGATGAATTTTATACATTAGTCACGTGGGTTGCATTTATGGAGAGAGTTTTCATATAAAATACCGTGAAGTGCAGAGTATGGAGGGTGTGCATTTATGGAGGGTGCAGGTATGGAGGTCTGGCTGTAGTTATTATGCGAGTTTTTGCATGATGATTAAAAATAGGTGTATGAATACTTCAATTCTCAAGGTATTTTTAATATCACAACTATAGTAAAAAAAAATAATTTTAATTTTAATTTTAATACATAATAAAATGACAAAATTAATTTATTCAGGTAATTAATTCATCTGATATAATTCAATCTGTTGAGAATCTAAAAAAAAAAATTTACAAACAAGAGTGAATGTTAATAAAAATGAAAATAATCAATGATTAATGTTAATAATTACCATTATTATTGCCAATAATTGTTACTTTATTGGAATTCACAGGTTGGGGAAGGCTTGTAAATTTTAATAGTCTGCTAGTATAAACAGCATTTGGATGAATTACTGTAGTAATTGTTGAAGGATCAAATTTTATTTCATCCATTTCATCAAAAATTTTCCTAATTGTTTTTAATTTATCATGCTCTTTCTTTGAATATCTATATGAACTATACCAAATTTTAGCTTTGGAATATTCAAATGAACTATACCAAAATTCAATAATCTTATAAATTTCATCAGCAGTTGGACGTTTATCTGGATTAGCATCCATGCATCTGAATGCTAGTTCAATATAGAATTTTGGTGTGTTATTTGAGAATCCTGGTCTTGCACTTCCACATATTTTCATTGCAAGATCTACATCATGTGCCAAATTATTAAAAGGTTGTTGGCCAGTTGATACTACAGACATCAGAACTCCCAAACTGTGTATATCTGATGCTTTTGTATATGGTTTCTCCCTTAAAACTTCTGGTGCAACATATGGTAGTACTCCAAATATATCATTTTTGTTTGATGCAAATGTTTGACTAGCTGGACATGATAATCCTAAATCTGTAATATATGAATACATATATTCTTTAGATTGAAGAATATTACCACTATGAAGGTCACAATGAATAATTTCTTCTTTATGAATATCTTTTAACCCAGTAATAATATTATAAAGAATTTCAATTTTATGTTTCCATTTTAAAATTTTAAAATCTTTAGTTAAATAATTTTGAAGACTTCCATCTTTCATATATTTTATTATAAATGTATAGTCTTTTGTAATTGGATCTTGTGTTAATCCATAAATATGAATTATATCTTTTTTACCATGAAGCTTCATATAATTCTTAAACTAAAATAATAAATAAAACATTTAATTATAACAAATAATAATTAAAAATCTGAATAAAATAATTTACCTCGTTAAGAAATTCATCAGAAATATTCTGTGAATTATGTAGTTTTTTTAATGCCACAGTCCTATCTTTACTAGTTCTTTTTCCATAATTTGTACTTTTATTGCCAT